TATGCTCAGTGTTGATTGTAAATTTAACACGCAGACTGCCGCGACCAATGTTATGCATAATACAAGTTATTTTTGAGTTTGAGCGTGTAAATTTAAACGTGCCTTAAAGCCCGCCACCACCCGACACAGTAATAACGAATTGTCACGTAAACCAAACGTGACAATTCGTTACTACTTCAGCACACACCCGGTGTGTCGGAGAGTAAAAAAACCCCACCCCCAACATTTACAATTTGATTACCCGAGTTGCGTTTGGTGATTTGTAATTGTGCTGCTTTCTAATTGATTACTTTGACCGTAGTTTAAGACTGTGACCACACGGTCGCACTTGGATTTTGCGCACGGTTTACTTGGCGGTGTTAGCCGCTCGGATCGTGACCGGGTTTATTTTCTCATTCCTGTTAGCTCGATGCCACCCTGTACCACTCCCGTTCCAGTGTAATGTGAACGGATGGCACTACTTTACTGAGGGTGATATATGGCGCCTAAATATCAAAGATAATTTTTTTTTTTAAAACGTTTATCAAGCTAGAAGTACGGTAGCGGCGTCGACATTTGCAATAGCGAAAACAATTGTGAATTTACAGTAATGGGACCTTAAATCTGTCAACGGTGCATACCTGCCAACCCATACGGTTTACCTGTATTCTTGTACAGAGAAGTTTAGTAAAACAATATTTTTGTCGTTGTTTCTCTCGACATTTGCAATAGCGAAAACAATTGTGAATTTACAGTAATGGGACCTTAAATCTGTCAACGGTGCATACCTGCCAACCCATACGGTTTACCTGTATTCTTGTACAGAGAAGTTTAGTAAAACAATATTTTTGTCTTTGTTTCTCCCTTGTGATGGGACTTTGTAGGATGAACGTTGAGATTTATAAGGGGTGACCAATAAGGTCTGAATCTGTCTGTAATGAGGTCGGCACTGATAAGGGGTTGACGGCTATGATGGTGACACAGCTTGACAGGCCGACTTTCGCAACCAAATGCTATTCACTGTTTGGCTTGCAGTGGTGACGTCATCTTGCTCTATTTAAGACCGGAAGCAGGTGGATGGCTTCGCTATTCTGGCAAATCGCCGATAACACTGGATATAATTACCAGCGAAACGTCAGGGAACTCAGATTGTAAATGTTGTGGATTTACTCTCCAACACACCGGTGGGCTGAAGTAGTAACTAATTGGCACGTTTTGTTTACGCGACAAACCTTACTGGTTGGCTCTGGCGGGTTACGACGCATTTATACTTTTGGGATGTAACTTAAAAACCTTTATTGTTGGTGAGACGGCTGTACTTGCTGTTTATTTGAATGTTCATTATTAGAAAGTAAACCAACATCGTTTGCGTGCTTTAACAGAATCCATAAATTGTTTAATTATTCTCAAAATCCCAATTCTCGCAGTTTGTATTCACCTAGCAAAGATATAGATTATTGCGCGTTATTTAATATTTCATAATGCACACAAATAAACTGCAACGCGTTTGATAGTGACTCAAATTAAATCAATAAAATTAAATCCCAAAGTTTTTACCCTTCTGCGTATTAAACTTTTTTTTCCCAAACGAGCCAAATCTGTAGTTGTTTTGTAAACTCATTGTCTTTTATATTTAATCAACTCCTGGTGTTGACCATTCATGCCAATTCTATTTAATGTTAAATCCTCCGAGACCATCTTTTATTCATGTCAATTGTGCTTTATTTACGTAACTTAAGATTGATAAGATTGGACTATAGCACACCCACTGGCATAATTGACACATTGGTTAGTGCCACCTTTCCTTGAGTTATGTTAACATGCACCATGGCATTGTAAATTGCAAATAGTTAAAAACCAGTTCAAGACGGCAGAGGGGTGCAAGAGGTTAATCGAGGCATTTGGCCATTAATAGATTCAAAATAAATCATTATACCCACCGTTTCACCAGTCTGATGATGCGCGTGTTAGTTGGTTATTTCAGATTTGTGCATATTTGATTCACTTTGTTGATCCTATAAAGCTCTCAAGATATGGAGCCAAACTCCCCTGACTTGCCAAAACAACGTGTGGTGCGATCCAAAAACACACATCGCAGATCGGATGCGAATTTGCCCTCAACGATATTGGTCGTAGCAAACAAGACTGGACATATAATAAATGTTGTCGTGACCCTCCACCACCCGACACAGGCAATAAGGATTGTCACGTAAACAACGCGCCAATTAGTTACTCTCCAACCGGTGCGATGGAGAGTAAATCCACAAGATTTACAATAAAATGTACAATAATTGTTGTGGGCTGAAGTAGTAACCAATTGGCGCGTTGTTCACGTGACAAACCCTCCTGGCTGTGTCGGGTGGTGGAGGGTTACGTCACATTTATACTTACGCGATCAAACGCAAAAACCTCTATTGTGAAATTGTGGCTAGTTAATCTTTAAACGTCGACTAATATTGTGCCCGTCGACCTTGGTTCGAAGACGGATGGCCGTCCATGATGACACTGGGTTAGAGCAATTTGATGTTTGTGGTGCCCTGGTCACCCACCACAAGCTAGACGACAAAACACTCTTGATTTTTAAATCTGAATTTGGTCGTTCACTTCTAATATTCCCGGCTCTGCTGTATTGAATCGCATAAACGATCACAACTGTCGGCAGTGGCAGAACACGCGCGTGCCAACAAGGACACTCAATTGATTTTGATGCTGTTGAGGTTCTGTGCAAAACTAGCTACTACTGGCCAAGACTAATTGGAGAATCTATCGAAATTGAGAGAAAATACAATATTGTTCGACTAGCTACAACCAGCAATGGATACCCATTGTCACTTATATGCATTCATTAATCCCCCCCCCACTTCACGCAAGAAGGGCTCACAAGTGATGCCATCACATCAACCCCTCTATTTAAGGAACGAAACAGGAGGATTTCTCCACAAATCTGGCTGTCCGCCTGATGAAGCTCTTTGCAATTACTGGCAAAACGTCGTACTCGGGTTGTAAATGTTGTGGCATTGCTCTCCATCATTCCGGTGTGCTGAACTAGTAACGAATTAGCACGTTCTGTTTACGTGACAAACCTTACTGATTGGCTGTGTCGAGTGGTGGTGGGTTTAACGACACATTTACGCGATCTAACCCACAAAACCTGTATTATGGATGAGATTGTTTGCGAAAGCCTATGTGTTAAACTAGCGATCACATGATTGACTATTTTCTTTTTACAAAAATAAGATTTCAGTTTTAAGTGACGACGCTTATCTCTTATCTGCAGTGTTCTCTCCGTGTGTACGTGTCTGTCTGTCTGCTGTGTGTCTATATGTCTGTCTGACCTTCAAAGGTGCTCGCTAACAGCACGTGCCAACAGTCTGCTATAGGCTATACAGGGTATCTTTGTCTTTGCTTTGTCTGCTGACCTGTAGTGCAACAGTAGTGCAGTGGTTAGCGCGTTGCACGACGAACCTGGCGACCCGGGGTCGATTCCTGCTCACGGCCAACACCAGTGACGATTATCTGAACCGGTCCTGGGCTTTTCCTGGGTCAACTCGGCCTCAAATGAGGAGCTGGTGCTGTGTGTAAACATCGCTACTGGGGTAGACAAAGGCGGCCAGGCGTGGCCACCCACCCCCTCGTGTGCCGTGCCAGCCTTCATAGGTGCTCACTAACAGCACTTGCCCGAACAGTCTGCTACACGGGGGATCTTTCTGTCTGCTGCTTGGCTATATAGAGGAGATCTGTGTGTGTGCGAGTGCAGTCGATATCGGCACTCATTAACAGCACCTTCCCCAAGAGCCTGCACGGCTGTAGGAAGTTCATTGTCTCTGCTTGGACCCACGTTTCCGCTGGAGAATCGCACTCCGAGAGAGGCGAGCTCATTGCTTTCACTTGTGACGGGGATCGTTTTTTAAAAAAGTTATTACCACATGACTTGAAACAATTAAGAAGCTAATGCCGAAGATCTCTGGTTTTCAGCCTGTTTCTGGTCGTACGAGGACTTGGCTACACGCGTGCCAAATTTCAGCTTTCTGGCCCTTTCAGGACATTGGTGTAGAATTTACGTCACTTGCTGCTCGGTCACCATCGCCTATATTTGCGTTTCTCAACTCCTGTCCTCAACACCCACCGACCTCGCACCCCCCCCCCCCAACCACTGTCCGCCTTGTGACTTCCACTCGCGTGCGAATTAAGGAACTTCACACTGCACGCACCTGATAGCTGGTACTCTCCGAAAACCGCAACGGTGGGAGGGGGATGGGGTGTGGAGGGGTCACAAGGACTGGATTCGAAGAAGCTGTCTTTAGGGCTCACCAAAAAGGCCCCACCTTGATTATTAATTCGTCGGCCGTTTACACGCGGGGCGGTCATCACGGGGTCCGCGCTGTGTCGTTAGAATTTGGCGAGATTCGTCGTCATTCGCTAACTGCCGGCAGGGCGGCCCTGACGAGCCGTCCCTAGGGTCACGCTCTGGCGCAACATTGGTGCACCGATTTTGGCAGTTCGTCCTGATTGGCTGAGGAATTTAAATGGGTGAAACCCTCCCCCACCCCACCCCACCCTCGGGGGCAATTTGAAAGTGAATTGGAGGGAATTTTTGAAGGCGATTGGAAAAACGTCGTAAGGCAGTGGTTATTAACCTTTACTGCAGCCTTGCACCCCTTTGGTTTCCAGAAAGGGCATCTCGCACCCCCAGGGGGTGCGTGCGGCCCAGGTTCAGAACCACTGGCATAAGGGATTGATTAAGAGTTGGGGGGTATTTGTGGGAATCTTCTGAATAGGATGAGGATTCATATATAAACGGAGTGCGTGGTGGGGGGGGGGGTGCGATGGGAGATGATCTTCCCACGATTGTTCGTTGGTGTTACGACCAGAATAAAAGTAACCCTTCCTCCTTGCTTGGGGGAAGACTCACTTTGGTTAGATCGATTAACGTGCTTAACCACGTGTAAGATTCAACCTCCTGTCATTCCTTGCGAATTGGCTTGACCGTGCTGCCGTGCGTCGCCATTGTCGTTCCACAGTCAACTCGGTGTGCGCGGCGCTCTTGGAGAGCCACTGGTATCGAGCACAGATCGTGGAGTACTACCCGGAGAGCAACGAGGTGGAGGTGAAGTGCCTCGACTATGGAGGGTACTACAAGATACTCGACTCCGACCTGCGACAGCTCAGGTGACCCATGCTCGTGGAAGGGCGGGGTGGGGGACCGTGGGGCGGTCGCGCGCTTCGCTCCTCCGGATCGTGGCGTGGATGAGCGGCCCCTGGTTCACGTCACGAGAGATCCTTCGACGATAAGCGCGGGGGGTGGGGGGGGGGGTGCAGGCGCGCTCTAAAGTTTGGTAAATTTGCCGCCGAAAACCTCCACGATAACGACGCGGGAGCGTGCCCGCGGCGCTTGCTTTAGAACTAAAAAGTAAAAATTTAATAAGCTTTTTATATCACCAGGTAAGGGCTCCCTAAGCTATACAGCTGTTGTTCAGAAGCGACACCTGGCCACAAACGAAGTGGCTCATCTCATGGAAATTTAACACGGACAAATACTCCCAACGCACATCGATTCTAAACGTGGAGGGGAAAACCCGGAGGGCCCGGAGAAAAATCCATGCGACCACGGGGAGAACACGCAAACTTAAAATATATAGGTGTCGGGGTTGGGATTGAACCCACGCACTCCTGTATATCAGGCAAGGTAGTTAATATCTCGCCACCGTGGCACCCTTTAGAAGAGGCTGAAAGGGACACTGTGTGTGTGTGTTCTTATGTTTACAGGACTGATTTTCTGACGTTGCCTTTTCAAGCATCACTTGTGTTTTTTGCGAATATCGCTCCTCCGCCCGGTAAGTTGTCTGCTGCCAGCAGTTTTTCACATCACATGTATTGAAGTTCACCACTTATAGACTTAACATTGGTAACCATGTTCAATTGTTTCCTTAAATGCAGGAAATTATATATTTATCCATTGACAACCATAATTAATGGGTGCCTCAACGTTTGATCATTTCCGTCTGTACGTGTAACGTCTTGTGACATGATTCAAAATGCCTAGACGATGCAAGTCCTGATTTGGCCTGTTACCACGTCAAAGCATTATACTCGTAAAAGAGAGAATTGCCAAAAAACATCTCAATATAGGATGCTTCCTATAAAACAAAAAACCACCACCTGATTGGGATAAATTACTTGCATCATTATTAGTCAACTTTCAATTCAAAGTGGGTTGCAGATTAACTTTGCTTGCGTTTAGACTATTTAGATTATTTAGCTGCTATAAATGTCGAAATGATAAGGCCACTTTGAGCAATAATTTATGGCCAGTTCGCGTAATTTTTTTTTATACCTGGTAGGATGAGGATGGTTTATTGTTGTATTTGCTTGTGTTGGGGTGATTTATTTACCTTACTTGTACTGTGCATTCCGATTGTGTTTTTGTAATGTTTGTTGTAGTAACGTTCTTACCCCGTGCCCCGACTGGACATCTGTGAAAGAGCTTTATAGCTCATCGGATTCCTCCAGTATAAATGCATATTCTGATTTTGATTATTATCTGCTCCTCACTGGTTGAGGTGTCAGTGACTCATTGCCCACGTGTCCGCAAACGCAAGCGAAGCGGTGGACTTTGAGACGTTCTTCATCCACTTTGTACATGGGTTAACTCATTTACATTTGTTTAGCATCGTCACTTTTGTTGTTGTTTTATCTGGGCCATTCCCCGCTCCCTCCCAGCCCCCTCCCCTCCACCATAACCTCGGACAATCCAGAGATGACTGTGCGAGTTTCCTCGAGAGCAGGCTGTGACACGCAAGCTCTTCACTGTGTTCCCCGTGGCTGCAGATCACACGTGCTACTCGGAGGAGGCGCTGTTGGCTGTGAACAAGCTGACGCTGGGCGCTCACCTCATTGCGGAGGTGGGGGGGGGGGGGGGGGGCTCGCTGGTCTGTGTGGCGCGAGAGGGCACGCGGGCGGGCGATCGTCTCGTGCCAAAACGATTGTCAAGGGGTCACGTGTACACAAAGGGTCACGTGTACACAAAAGGTCACATAGGCTGAACGACGCCACCGGTGTGTCAACGCGGTCGGCATGTTTGATTTTGATCGGTCGGTTAGTCTAATCGATGAGCACCTGTTGGATTTTAGTCGAGTCTCAGTCCATGGATTCCATTTGGTTATTCTTTCTCTAGTCTAGTGGACTGGAGCAGTCAAACTCTTTGTCCACTCGGTTCTTAAGCGATGGCGTGCATGGTGCACAATTTCCCCTCCCGATGTGATCGGGTCAGCCAATCGGTGACCTCGGTTAAATATCTTGCTGTTCATATCACACGAGGTGACCAACGTGTGTGTGGTCTTCCTCGGTTAATTTCAGTCTCTAATAACATCACTTAATTATTGTAGTCTTCGTCTTCATTCGGAACAGTGAATGTTGTCTCAGTCACGCTTTGGGCGCTGGTGGGCAGTAGTTACGGTTAAATTATTTTCCTGCACTCCTGGTCATCATGTCACAACAATAAAAAATAAACCCCGCTTAACCAACATTCTATCGCAAATTTCGTTAACAAAATTTAACAGTTGGGGTGTGGGGGGGGGGGCAGTCGGGGCAGGCGGGGCGGTCACCTTGGGAGATTTTGTCTCCTTGCTCGTGAAGGAGATGGCATTGGCACATGTTTCGCGAAAGCTTGGATGAAAACGAACTCTCACCGGACGTGTTTTTAACAGGGGCCCCCAAAATTGTCCCCCGCCGCCTCCGTGTTCAAACGCCAGCGCTCCTACCCGAACTCGCCGGTGCCCCCCCCCCCCCCAAATCCAGTGGCGTCAATTTCACATATGCTCTGTGGCGGAATGCAGTCCTTTTGAATTTCATCGCGTTTCTAAGTGGCAAATTGTCAAAATGTCACCCGACCCCGAATAAGCATCCGGGCGGCAGTCGTCTCCATTCGTGGCTCGATGCCGGGTTGACATTCCTTCTTGGAGGTGAACTTTTCCGTGTTCACAAAATGCATCTGGAAATCCGCTCTCTAGCAAGAGGCCGGCGTGCGCAGTGTACGCGCACGCCGGCCTCTTGCTACCGATGCGGCCGTCACAATCGCGCGCCGTGTTGTTCTTACGATCACGATGCCCTTTGGTGTCTAGGGCTGCGCAACACACCTCTCTGCCTCGAGCCCCTCAAGCATTTTCAAGATAATCGTCGGCGCGTTGGCTTGGCTTTCCAAGTTGCCAGGACCGCGATGACTTTTTGCTATGGTTGCTCAGCAATTGGCAGCTGCGTCTTGATGAATCCATTTGCTGCGTAGGCTGTCAAAGGACCCCATGTTGTAATGGCGGCGGTGGTGGGGGGGGGGACCTCCCTTGCTAGTATCAAAATATAAGAACATTTTTTTTACCCTTTCTGGCAATAAAACAAACAGGTGTTTGAACATCTAAACATCACTGTTTTATTGCCAGAAAGGGTCAAACCTATTATTATTTTTTTCATACTTGCAGTGTATTTTTTTTAGCGTTATGTTAAGGTGGCATCGATGAAGGTTTGTGCGTGCGTTGTTATTTTTTTTGTAACCTCGAAAGATTTTTCTCATTGGATTTTTTTAGCGCATTCGTAAATTGATTGCGCTGAGTCGTGGATTCACTGATTTTAAAACGCCAAACTGAACCTTTTACAAGGAATCATGTCTGACAATGCACTATCATTGTCTTTGCACTGTTCGCCTTTTGGCGTCCTCTGGTCTTACACTGTTTGAGACTAGGCTCTAAAGAAAGTGGTGTGGACCAATCAGTTTCAAAGACAATGCATATACTACAAGAGCATGTTTTTTGTTTGCATGTTCACGACAAGTATGTGTGTTTCATGCATACATGATTCCTCGCAAAAGCTTCAGTTTGGTGTTTTAACATCTTAACACAACTTTTATTTCCAGAAAGGGTAAAACCTCTTGTTAAACTGTGAAAGAGTTTGTATCGCTCATCGGATTCCTCCGGTGTAAATAAAGATTCCGATTCTGCTGTGCCGACCGCTCACACGTTGCCGCAGGTGACGCAGTTCGACACGGTGTCACAGATGCCCTTCGTCAACCTGTGGCTGATCAAGGATGGAAGGGTGAGTGTCGTGGATGATTTTTGTTTCGTTTCGCCAAATATTATGCCTGGAGGGTAAAACATCCCCCCCCCCACCCCCCGAGATGGATGGAACGTCTCGTTCCATTTCTAGGGTTGCTGATTGATAGGTAGCCCCCCCTCCCCCCCCCCTGCAAAGGTCGTTTTGAATGCAAACTTCCCCGCAGCGAATACACAATGATAAAAAAAATCCGATTCGCTTGAAAGAATCTGTGTTAATATAATGTTTACAAAGTTATTTTGTTTAGGACACGAAAAAAACTTTTTTTGTACGTTACCAAATTTGTATAGATTCACTATTTCCTTCCACGATTCGATGCAGGTATTGTGGGCATCAGAATTGACTTCAAATGAATAATGGATGCGTTATTATGCGCCTGCTTTGCAATTGCATTTGTAGATTACATCGTAAAAGAAACCTCATGGGAACCTAATTTCCAAATAATGTAGTCATTTGTCTCGGGTTAAGCAAATTTCTGGCTGTAGACCTAACTTCTACAGATTTAACCTTAGAAGGAGTGCTCTTTGTCACCTACATCTGGGGATGCCACGGTGGCTCGGAGATGTTATAACTACCTTGCCTGGTATACAGGAGAATCGTGGATTTGATCCCAAACCTGATGCCTGTATATTTGGAGTTTGGATGTCTCTCCCCGTGGTCACGTGGATTTTTCTCTGGGTCCTCCGGTTTTTCCCTCCACATTTTAGATTTAACGTGCGTTTCGAGGATTTGGCTGCTATACATTTCCACGTGATAAGCCATTTGTGGCCAGGTTGCTTCTGAAAAAGAGCTACGTAGCTCAGTTGGCCTTACCTGGTAAAATAAAATAAAAAATGTTTATCTGGTCATCGGGCAGCATTTATTTTAGTCTGCCGATGAGACCCAGAATATCAAAACCAATCCAGAGTTTGCTGAAGTTAACAAATGCTTCCAAATAATATTGGTCTGAAAAGCCGATAGGTTGATGAACTTAAAATAGTTTTTGCTTTCAACGTGGAGACATGGACCGACCTCTACTTACACTTCCTGTCACCAAACAAAGCTCCATGGCAACGCACAATGGGGTCGTGTACGGTAACGTGTCCACGGTCAGCTGGAATCTTAATCTCATCTTGACGAGCGGCCGTCATGTACCTACGTTATCTTTTTCACGTTTTTTGTCTTCCGCCTCTCAGTCTCAGATGATCAACAAGATGCTGGTGGACGCCGGCCACGCGCGGTGGCTGTCGTAACGCCGACGCCACGCTCACAGCCTCTCCCTTGGTGGTGGGTACCAAGAAGAGAGGATGCAGTTGAACCCCCTCTCAACGACGGTTGTTGGGTTCCACGAAACCGGTAGTCAAGTGATTTGGTCGTTAAGCGAGTATAGGAAATACACGCCAAAGGCTTAATTCGTCCCGATAGCATTGAAAGGTACCATTTTTCACCCAATAAACGTGCTTTATAATAATATAATTAAGCAATGGATGTGAATACAGAAAGATACTAACAACATTATGAACATGTAATATCAAAAGAAGCATTGTTAATCGATGCGTTAATTCATATTTACTGTGCCTACGACAGCTGTCGTTAGCAGGGGATTGGTCGGTAAGCGAACACGTTGGGCTGTATGGAGGCCCGTCGTTAACAGGGGTGGTCGTTACGAGGGGTTTCTACTGTATGTCCTCGAGGCACTTTTCCTCACTTACTTGATTGCTCTACTTTTATATTTGTAAATAATTTAGAAGTGTCGCCACGATTCAACTCGTGCTGGGGTGTAAATGGTGCGCGCGCTAATGACCGGCGATGACTTTGATCCATCTTTCACTTTTTTGTTTTTACTTATTCTCGTTCACAAATATACAACTACTGTTGGTTTTGTAACCGTCATTTCGGTGGTGAGCATTGGAAATTAATTTACTTTAAAACACTAGAAAATGCCCAATGATTGCAGATGTCAAACTGGAAAAAATGTGTACATTAATTGTGTTATTTGTTGATGGCTTCTATTCTCTAAATTTAATCTGTGAGCCACTTGACGATGACGTTTCCCTAATATGCCATAACAATGTACAAGTTGCACTTGACCTCGAGATTCCTGATCCTGTCCGGCCGTGTGAAATGCGCGCTCCAGTAAACAGAGGTTAACTCGCACAGAAACTCACAAACACCTTGTTGTGAAAGGCCTCGCGCAGAAGATCCCTGGGTTTGATCGTCCACGAAGCTGCTCATGTTCCACCCTGAACTGCATCCGCTGCACAAATCATGGCAGATGCGGATACCCGATGCATAAACAGAAAATAAAAAAATCCTCCAGTCAGTGTGCGACTGTGGGGTCATCTAGCACAAAGACCGTACAACGTATATCGACGCAATGCCCCGGTCCACAAATACGACGGAGACGTCGCGTCGATACACTACTCCCGCTGCTCCCGACGTGGTTTTTGTCTGGGCTTGACCACCTGAATGTGAAATTGTCGTTATTTGCTCTGCATCTACGGAAGAAGAAGAAGTCGTACAATTGCCTAGGTTTTTTCGCAGTCATTATGTACGGCTGTGTTTTCAGGTTGGTACCGTGCGCTGTTCCGCACGATGTCTGACAGTTTTGCTCCAGGTGCGGGGGTGGGGGGTGGGGGGGCTTCTTCAGGAACTGAAATCATTCCGAAACAACGTGCGGCACAATTACTAAAACACATCGGAATATTATGGAGCTTAACATATGCACGCACCACGTGGAATGTAAGCAAATGTGTCCACTCCCATACCTCGGTAAAGTTTTGTTGTTTTGGCTTTGGGAAAGAATACTGGGTGCAGTTTATTCTGTCGACTGCGTTCCCAATGCGATACGAATTGTTATCTTCGGTAAGTGAGGAAAATTTGTAATTCAATCTAAAAAAAAAATTGTGCTTTGTAAAACTAATGTTACCAAATACTGTGCGTGCAAAACAGGCCGTCGATTTTATTGTGATTTTGAGATCGCAGCAAATTAGAGGATAAGTTAAAGAATTTTTTTTTTTAAGAATTTAGTTCGTAGCTTGTTAACTGTTAAACATGCTCCACTGTTGAAATGTTATGGCTAGAAATAAACGAGTTGTGCATTGGCAATACCAAAGGCATGGGGCCTAGCCGTGTCTGGATTGTAATTTGTTTTCTAATTCGCAGCTCGATTGAGTTGCTTCCACCGTGGCCTTCTCGTGCAGGGATCCCTCGATTTCGTGAAAGGGAAATGTGTTCTTTAGAAAAAAACGTGTTAAATCGAAATCTCCTAATAGTTAACCTTGTGAAAAATAAGTATAGGCTTTACCCTTTCTGGAAATAGAACCGGTGTTAAGATGCTCAAACACCAAATGGATACCTTTTTGCAAGGAATGAAGTCTGCATTAACCACACACTGTCCTTGTTGTGAACATGCAAACAAACTTATACTATATGGGCATTGTCTTTGAAACTGATTGGCCTACACCAGAGACAGCTGTGCATATATTATCAGAGTTTATTTGGTGTTTGAGCATCTTAAACACCTGTTCTCGTGCCCGAAAGGGTAAAACCGATTCTTATTTTTCATACTTTGATACTGGCAAGAAGGGTCCCATGATATAATTGACCTTTTCAGCGAACTCGCCAAAAGATCCTGCTGCATGTTGGAATGACTGGCAAGGCGGCGGCGGTGTTCTGGGGGCATGACTGTTGCCACTGCAAGGGACACCGTGACGATGTCAGCCTCCCGGCCGTGGCTTCTCACTTGACGATGTCACTGCGCGGGGACTTGACGTAGTAACATTTAATTTATCCTGGAGATTCGATTTAAAAATTCATCGAAAAACGTGTCCGTAATTTGTTCACGCTACATTAACGCGACATTTCGTAAAAAAAAACCCCAGCGTTTGTAAATCGAGGGATACCCACGTGCAGCGTTTCTCCTCCTGTACGTTCAGGAGAGTTGTTACAGCAATGCCACGGGCACCTCCTCTTTAGCACAATGTAATTGTGTTTTGGTTCGACGTCTACTGATTTTGTCGTCATCCGGTCCGCTCTGCTGTTTTGCGGGTTCAGATTCACGCCCTCGCAAAATGGCATCAAAACTTTGATTGCCTTTTGTAACGTCGCACCTCGTTCGTGGAACCATTGGTAACCATTCTTGCAAATGTTGGATGAAAGTTTCGGTTCACCAACATGCAACTCGCCACCGATTTCCCTTAAGGGCGTGTAAGGGTTTGCGTATCTAACGGGGGGCGCTTGCTCGAAAGCCTCGTCCAACTCCCAGAGCGCCTCGCATCATCTCCACCGGTTTCAATGCCCTGCTGTGGTCTGGCCAAGTGGGTCCCCGGTGGCAGCTGTCCCCTCCACTGCACAGTGTGCTCTGCACAGCAGTCAAATCGGCATTAGTCTGCAATGTTGCTGTTTTTGTCCCCCCCAACCCCACCCCCCAATTTCATAATTTGGAAGCAATTTATAAAATTTGGACCGTGATGCTTCGCGCAGCCGATGGCCGCAAGTCACGCGCTGCCCAGCGGTGCTTTTCATCCGATAATATATTTTGTGAAAAATGCACAGAATGTTTCCATCGCCAGCAAAGAGAGGGCAGCATCGCAACGGCGAACCATCTGTTTCGGTCATTCAGTCGAGGCACGGACCTGGACCCGATGGGTGTGTGTTCAAACTTAAGCCACTATTTTTTTTGTTGTTGATTGCTATGCCGCACTGATCTTTTGAAAGACTGCTACAATTTAGCGAGTTCACTCTAAAATGTCGCCTGACCTGTGTTGGGTCATTAAAGCCTTGTTCCTCTTGTTTTTTTTGTGGCACTGTTATGAACATAGATTTTGTATGAACGTTAACATTTTTACAACTTTAAAAGGGACATTGCATCGAGTGTTAAACCGATTTGAGGATTGATGCAAGAGAAACTGTGCCTATATAGCCGCTTATTATATTTTGATCTCTGTATTATATTGCTTGAATATAATGTTACTTTGAGAAAGTGTTAAAACAAAATGACATGTTCTTGTTGTGTATATAACTGTCATGTTCACGTGGGTATTTTATGGCCGAGCACTGGAATACCGAGTCTTTTTTGTTGTTGGATGTCCGTGTAACCTCCCCGACCGCCCGAGGGATCACAGTTTTCAAATGTGGTTGCCGGTCCGAAATGTAGAATCGTTCATTTCGGGAGCACACGGAATAAAAACGGAACCGGCCATGATGTTGCGAGCAGGGCTTGGCCGCTCCTCCACCCGGTGTAGCGCCAAGGTCCACGCGCGTCTCTTGGGCACGTATTAAACCACGTGTCGTAGGAGATTATATTTGTACACGGTTTTTTGTCATCTTCTCTTATTCGGTCTGAAAATATGTAAATTTGGTATATCAACGTTTTAAAAAAATATATATACGTGTGGCTGGTTCAACGAAATAATAACGTATTTACATTTTAGAAGATAACTATTTAAATGCAGTCATGACCACCAGCGTGATAAACACAACCACGATAAACTTATGGCCATAAAGAAATTGGGAAGCGGATGTCGTGGGTGGTTTTTTTGGGGGGGTTTTGTCAAATGCTTTGTGGCCGTGGTTTTTTTTTTTTGTTCGGGAAATACTGTGCAGCTTAAATTGCCCCGGTTCTCATTTCAAGAGGTGGGAGTGGTGGCTGAGTGGTTAGCGCACTGTGCTATATAAACCCCGAGGACCTCGATTCAATTCCCAGCCATAACTCTGCGTCGGTGGCGAGAGTTTCTGTGCACCTACTGGGCCGTCCATACTTTACCATCCTCCACTGACCAGCATCGTGAAGTATGGTCAAATGAGCCCCCACGACTGACATGGTGTGGGGGGGACGCTTTCGTTTCGGCAATTATTAAATTTCACACGTCCATATTTCGACTCGTGTATTATTTTTGTCATAACCTCCGCTCTGGTGAACGTCAACCCGCGGTAATAGTTTATTTATTTTGTTGGGAAAAATCCTGACTTAACTTTTTTTGTGGCCCCCGCACTGCGCGACGGGTACATTTTCTTTGTCGATGTTCAACAAAGGTGCGTCTGCTGTACGGCTCTCGGTGGACCTGTTAAAAGTTCAGACTTTTAGAATCTTCGTCGTTGTGCTCCGAGCGTCGAGCAACGGCGGCCCGGAAACAATATTTGCACGCTCTTTGGTTCTATTCGGTAAAGTCCCGTAGGTAAAAAAAATAACAAAAAATCACGACGTTTCGGCCACAACACAAGTGGCCTTCATCAGGTGAAGGGATTGGACTGTCCAGAGGACAGCGTTGGAGTGAAGACGGCAAGCCCAGGTCGCGTCCTTTAAGCTGAAGGCCACTTGTGTTGTGGCCGAAACGTCGTCATTTTTTTTTACCTACGTGACTTTACCGAATAGAACCAAAGAGTATGGATCCTTGCAGTCACGAAAGCTTCAAATCTAGAACATTTGCACGCTTCGCGCAGCTACCTGTTTCTTTTGCATCATCGTACGAGTAGCGCACGACTTCTTCAGCAGTCGAAGGCGCGCACTGCTCGACCGATCACCACTGGCAATTACCGTGTGGGCGTCGATGAGTCCCCTCCTCCCCCAGTTAATCGTTTGCGTTGTTTTACCTGGGAAAGAATATCTGCACGGTTTTAATATTTTTTTTGTAAAAAAAAAAAACTACTTTGGAGTTAAAGAAAAACAGTTTGTTAACCACCGATCATTTTTTTAATAACTTAAAAAATATAGTGGTTAAATGTTGGGACTTGATTAGTGAAATTGCATTGGAGTGTACAAATTGAATGGGCTGCTTGTTTAATAAACGTTTGTGCAAAATGTGTGTGCGTGCGTGCTTTGTTTTGTGACGTATTCGCCCGTCTTCATTTGTACGGCGGTGGAGTTGATGACCACACCGACGCTTGTACGATGATCACACCGACGCTTGTACGATGATCACACCGGCGAACCGGTGCGTTACGCCGTCAAGTGAACGGTCGGAAGCGGGGCAGAGGTTTTGAAGTGCTCGTTCGGTATATCGGCGTTGTACCTTTCGGGTCATCTCCACCGAGCCTCGGGATTGAAATCGGGGGGGGGGGGGGGGGCGGGGGCGGATGCTATAAGAGACTTTGGGGTTCAGGCCCTGCCTGGCGAAATCCCAATGGGTCCGGTAGCATTGCGAGGAGGCCACGCAGCCGCTGCAGATTCGGGTTGGCGATGCCGCTCTATTGTCGGGGAGGCTGATCCCCGGCTCCTTGCTCACGTGGGATCCGCTGCTCCCCTCTTCCGTGACCTGGGGAGGGTTACTGCTCACCGACTCCCCCCCCCCCCTTCGCTGCGGCCCCTCGGGGCATGATTCGTGGCTGGCGCTTAGCCACCTGGGATTAATTTACACAATCTCTGCGCACACCCACTCACTCGAAATCCGACGTCGCTCCTCTCCCGTGCCACGCACCAATCGCGCGCGCGGGACGCGGGGTCAGAGGGCAGGGACGTCACTCACACACGCGCAGCCGATTGGGGGGGTTGTGTCGGAGATTTATTTAAAGGTCTGAACAATCTCACGGGTACGCCGCCCGCTCACCATACGCACACGCTAAACAAAAGGCCGCACGAATAATCTCGCGTGTACGCCGCCCGTTTGCCTCACGCACACGTTAAACGAAAGGGCGTGAGAGTAATCTCACGTGCCCCTGTACGAGGCCGCCGCTCACCACACGCACATGCTAACCACGAGCTTACACGCATGGGCGAGCGCAAACACGTGGGTAAATACTCACACAAACACAGGGTACAACGACGCACACCAACATGCATCCGTTCCACCCTCGCAGAAACCACACGACAAGGTTTATTGATCCCCAACAGTTTATTCTCAGCGAGTCCGATGCTAAATTACCCGAGTCGGTTTGAGTCAGTAGGGCAGATCTAACCTATCTCCAACTGGTCTAAGACCCGATCTGTATCGCCTCTTTCAAATCACTCTCCTAAGACAATCTCACAATGGCCTCAATATCTCACTCTCGGGTATTCACGGTTCGACTCGTACGGAGCTGCTGGGTCGGATCCTCGCTGCACTTCGACTCGTCACACGGACGTTCGAGTGGCTGGGAATTCGACGGCCCCGAGCCTGGCTTGAGTAGAATACGAACCAACTCTCCCTACCTTCTCTCCACTTTTTATTGTCCTCTACATCAAAGATAAATCGGCGCTGATCCACTGGCCTCCCGTCCCATCAGGTGGCTCGGATTTTCCACCACTCTCCCCGGACCGGTGCTCTCTCAAACGTCTGCTTTTCACCCTCTAAACAAGCGCATCTGTCCTACCAATCACAGTGCCGGCCCTGTTTGTCCCGCCGTTCGTGACTCCGCCCCCCCCTCTACCTGCCTGCTGACCCGTGTGTGTTGTGTGTGTTTTCTACTCGCGGTGGCTCAGCAGCTCCGTCGTGACCACGTGATTACCACCCAAGTCACGGCGCCGCGGTGCACGTTAGCCTCGGGGGAGGTCGCCCAATTCCCTGGTCGTAGGAAACCGTGAAGTTTGGTCCCGTGAGAGGGCTTCTGAGTCAAAACCTGTCGACCAGGTGACCTCCCCTCGGGGCTCTACGTGGGGGTGTGTGTGTGTTCATGTGGGGGCTCTAAGTGGGGGGGGGGGGTGTGTGTTCATGTGGGGGGTGGTGAAGGAAGAGCAGCGTTGGCCCCGTCGCTCGGAGGTGGCGGCGTCGCGGCCACGGCGTCGTCAGGACGGCCTCGCTGCTGCTGCTGCGGCACCACTGTGGCAGGCCCGGCTCCGACGGAGCGGCTTCACTGCTGCGGCACCACACTCATCTCTGGCTAGCGGGAGAGTTGGGGGGGGGCCCTCTCAGCGTTGGGATCTCCTCTCTTGGACTGGCTTCCGCCCCCCCCACTTGTGAGTGACTGGTCAACCTCCCCGAGCTCGTTGCCTGCCAAGGTCACCCTCGCTGGCCTCTTCGTCACTGCTGCCAGGAGGATTGTGTGCGTGTTGCACGTATGTCGAACTTCTTTCGCACCGTACGTAGCCTACCGTGCTAATCGGAGGTGTGAATTAGGGGGGGGGGGAGGGAGGGGGGTACAGACGGATGCTATTTCTGTGCGCCGCTCCAGGCATGCTCGAGGTGCATCCTGAGCCGTGATCCCCTCTCCCTGGATGAATTATTTATTTGAACGTCCCCAACCCCCCCTCCCCCCGCTCGATACATTGTCAGCAATTTTTCTCATGCGTCAATGCATTTTGGTGATCTGCTCTGCCCGTGTGTAATGTGGCACGCACAGCGTCTGTGTTATTGTGTGGGGAGCCGGTAGCGCACTGCACTACGAAGCCAGAGACCCGAGTTCAATTCCCGCTCACGGCCAACACCAGTTACGATTACATGAACCGGTCCTGGGCCTCCCCTAGGTCAACTCGGCCTCAAATGAGTAACCTGGTGTGGTGTCTAAACATCACTACCAGGGAGACAAAAGCGGTCGGGTGTGGTGCTGGCCACCCACCCCCTCGTGTACCGTTCCGGCCTTGATAGGTGCTACTCGCTAACAGCACTTGCCCCTACAGTCTGTTACAGGCTATACGGGGGATCTTCGTCTGTTAGTAACTTAATTTCGGAACCCACAAGCACCATCAAAACAAATGGTTGATGAGAAAATGCAAGCGGTGTAAACGCTCGGTGGAAGCTCCAGAGTTGGTCACGTTTATTCGGCTGTCAATTACAAAAAAACACGAGTCTATCAATTATATGTTCTTAAAACAATTTTCATTACTTTTTCGGGGATGGGTATAATTTAAGCTGTCGGGGTTTTGCAAGCCAGCAGCACTGCCGTGTCGGCATTCAACTCCAGTTCGGTGTCTGGCGCCGTTCTGCCCCTCGCCTCCTGCAACCTGAAGCACACCGCTCCATCCATCAGGCTTCAAACTCTCAGGACGTAACACTGACATTTAAAAAGTACTTGTACGATTACAACTACTACGGACAACAGACACCTCCACTATGGCAGGGAAATTATAGCAGCAGCACCACATTGGGCTATGTGAGAGAATTCCACTGCTGCATTGAGACGATGTTATAGTTATTAAAAAAAAGATCAATGGGAGAGGAAGTGGAAAGAGCATATCCTGAGGTTCGAGTTTCTGTCCTGATTTTACCAGAATTGTCCTCTTAAGGTCGCTGTGCCAGGGACACGCCCCCTTCATCCACAACACGCCCCCACCACCACCACCCAACCCACCCCCACCACCACCCAACCCGCCCCCCCACGATCCAACCCGCCCCCACAACCCGCCCTCACCACCACCCAACCCGCCCCCACCCCCACCCAAGGGGCAGGGCCTAAACAAAGAGGGGGTGGGGCCTAAAGTAGGGGCGGGTCCTAAAAAGGAAAGGCTGAGCCGACAGAAGACAAGACGAAGCAGTCATCATGTTCATCATTAGACCTCCTTTGCCAGTACCAAAATATAATAATAGGGTTTTTCCCCTTTTTTTCTGGCAACAAAACTGAAACCTTTTTACAAGGATCCATGTTACTGCATTAACCACAATACCTGCAGTCAAAATGAAAAACAAAACAAACATACTATGATAATATATGTGGCATTGTCCTTGAAACTGATTGGTCCACACCAAGGGACGGCTTTCTTTTGAGCCTCGACCCAATTGGTGCTCGACCACATGACGCCAAAAGGCGTCACATAGCTCAAAGACAATGCACTATCAAAGTAATGAGGGCTCGGGGTGAGCATCTACATCATTAGACCTCCTTTGCCAGTACCAAAATGTAATAATAGGGTTTTTCCCCTTTTTTCTGGCAACAAAACTGAAACCTTTTTACAAGGATTCATGTCTGCATTAACCACAATACCTGCAGTCAAAATGCAAACAAAACACACACTATGATAATATATGCATTGTCCTTGAAACTGATTGGTCCACACCAAGGGACGGCTTTCTTTTGGCGTCATCTGGTCGAGCACCAATTGGGTCGAGGCTCAAAAGAAAGCCGTCCCTTGGTGTGGACCAATCAGTTTCAAGTACAATGCATATATTATCATAGTATGTTTTTTGTTTGCATTTTGACTGCAAGTATTGTGGTTAATGCAGACATGAATCCTCGTAAAAAGGTTTCAGTCGTCAGGTTGTCGAAGCATCGAATCAAATGCGTCCAGCAGGCAGCAGCAGCAGCGAACCTTTAGTGCCGCAGATGTGGCCACAGGCCAACTGCGGACTCGTTCGACTGCCGTACCTAAATATATATTTTTAACATGCAGCACATAATCGACATTGTGAATTTCACCACATACGAATGTTACCACACACACACACCTCTGCCCTAGAGACTGCATGAAGGTGTCCCCGCGTTTAGGGTTCTCTTTCCGCAGCGCCTGGTATTCGGAAAAGCAGCCGATGAACCTCAGCAGATCCTGCAGTGTCATCTGTACGGACAGCTCAATGCCCTCCTTCCTGAGAGCCGAGAGCAGTACAAAAACACCACCAGCGAGGAGCCATCTCCTCCTCGAAAGACAACCGGAGCCTATTTTTAAGCCGGTTCTGTCCGAAGCCTGGAAAATGTGTCCACACCCGGCACACCACATCCAGTATAGCTGTGGCTGCCATTCACGTGCCAACCAGCGACACAGAAAATGACAACTTGGCATTTACCATTCCAGGCTTTACCCCCCCCCCCCCCCCCAAAAAAAAAACAGCCATGTTTTGTGACATTCACAATCGACAGACGGTACAATAACAATGGGCTTGGATGCAAAATGTACGTTGATTACAATGTAAACAACCCAACCAGCAATGGATACCCACTGTCATTTATATTAATTAATCCCCCCCCCCTCCCCACTTCGCTCAAGAAGTGCTCAAGTGACGTCATAACATCTACGCCTCTATTTAAGGAACGAAACAGTTAGACTTCTCCACAAATCTGGCTGTCGCCTGATGAAGCTAGTTGTAATTACTGGCGAAGCGTCGTACTCAAGATTTTAAATGTTGTGGCGTTGCTCTCCAACACAACAGTGTGGTGCACTAGTTGGCACGTTCTGTTTACGTGACAAACCTTACTAATTGGCTGTGTGGGGTGGTGTCGGGTTTAACAACATTCATATTTACGCGATCAATAACCCAAAAAAAACTATATTATGGATTCTCAATTTAACCATTTTATGTGACCAGCAGTACACCTCGGTGTACCTGGATAATTTGTATTTCGACATTTGACACCTTGAAATGGTCAAACATTTGACAGTTTGCAACTTTGTGTTGAGTTCCCGATGAATAAGGGAACATGCCGACCGTGGCTTGCAGCAGGTGGCGTTCACGGCCTTTAGGAAGATGTGTGGGGGTGGTTACATTGAAAGGAGGCCCAAGTTATGATATATTTTTTATTCACTTACCTAATATCCCCTGTTTTCAAAGCCGGCAAAAAAAGATTATTTTTGAACAGGACGAAAGAGCAAAGGCCTGCCACGCTGGAGGGTGATGTATTCTCACCGCTCCTTGTCAGCGAAGGTGATGCCCGTGTAGATGTCAGCGTAGCCGTTCCGCAGGTGGCGCATCCTCTCGTGCTCGTATGGACGGAGCTCCTCCAGCATCTGCAAACAAACGCCGTGGATGCGTCGAGAAATTTGGCCCGGCTTACAATCGCCATCAAATCGTGCCCCACGATCAATTGACTGCTGATTGAAGGCCGCCCCACCTCCCCCACTACAAGCCCCCCCCCCCTCCCCCATCTCTCAAGGTTCTGCGATGTTTCAAATCACCTGGCACCAGGCACGGCAGCCGAATTCGTGGTTTCTTCCTCGGCGGTCGACATCCTTCCGGAGCGCGTTCTCACCCCCCTCCCCGAGCTCTCCCCACTTTGTGGTTGGGCCTTTGACCATCGGCCACCGTCCCCCTTTCCGGCGACGTGTCCTGCCCGAGGCCACTTTCTATTTTATTTTCTTAACGGTCAAAATGGGGACATCTTTGAATTATAATCATTCATTGCTTCTGATATAACGCCCTCTTACACATCCCCATCTCAAACATTTGACGGGTCACTGCCCCACTCCTCACCCCCAGTGACAGCCGTCTCCGTGGGCACAGGGTGGACTCAGCACCTCGTCTGCAAATTGGGCTTGAAGTCTGCCCGTAGGGGGACCAACGATTGCTATTTATAATCCCAATTGGGTAATTTTGCAGGTAATTTTAGAGAATTTCGCCGCACATTTGGTCCCCGCTGTCAGCGCAGAATGCGAATGACATCAAGGATCTTTGTCCTCACTGGCGAAGCAGATGGCACTTATTATTATTATAGTTAATTACACTTCCAGTAATAAAATCGGGATTTCTGCCGGGTTTGAAACGTGAACCTCTGCATTAAACGGTAAATGCTTTGCCGGCTAGGCCACATCGCATCACCGCAAGCCCGCGAACGTTCTCTAACCTTTCGTTCTCTAAGGGTAACAAGTTTTGTCCAAGTTCCATGTGAAGGGCGATGTATGCGGTTGATAATCTTTATAATGAGCGGATAAGGATTCAGGGATTTATTTAGTTTGTGGTTTTTTGCTTCTTTCTCTTGCTCATTGCAACTCGTGGGGGCCTGGGCCACGACCGGCCCACAACGACGAGCTGCCAGCGAGCGGTTTTTTGTTGTTGTTGTTGGGCTACCTCTTGGAGGATGGCGGTCAGCTCGCTTGAGACGCCACCGTACTTGAGCCGCATTGGGTAGAGCATGGCGTAGACGGCAAGGCAGCCGCCCGGCTGCAGGACCCGCGCCGCCTCTCGCACGAAGTCGGGCAGATTGAAGACGTTGGCAGCCGACGTCGCGCACAGGAGGCCCACGGAGCCGTCCAAGAAGGGGAGCTTCTCCGCCGTGCCGACCCTTCAAACCAAAGTCAACGCACAGCAGCCGGCCTAGATTGGCAAATTAGGACTATTTAAAAAAAATAAACCGGTGCGATGTGTGACTTACTGGGCAACCGCAAATGCAGCCAACCGAACAAAAAACCCGTTAGGAGATGCAATTTCGTCTTCCTAAGAAGTTGGCTCATGCGGGACACGTTGCTCAAAAAAGGGTGGGATGGCTGCATGGCAAGATGCATGCTTGGGATGACATTGCGAGACGGAGCGACTCACGAATTGGAGAACATGAGCAGATCAAAAGGCACCTCCCGTACTGTTCAGAAAAGTAAGTGGACTTGGGCAAGGACGCACTTACAGGAGGGATAATGACGGGTGGTCAATCTCCATGTATATAAAAGGCAAAGTTGTGAATGTGTGTCTGTTCAAAATGTTTAGCGTACTTCCCGACATGCAACAAACTGGAAATTTGGCATGTGGGTACTTTCCAGACTGGACACCATGCAAAAATGATAAAAATACACTTTTGGGGGGGGGGGGGGGAGCTCAATAATGCTTTTATTTTTTGCACGGCAAGTGAGCTGTGACGTAAAATCTGTCACGTGACCCGCGCATGGCCACCACCGGTGACGATTATTTCAACCGCTTCTGGGCATCCCCTAGGTCGACTCAGCCTCAAGCGACTAACTGCTGTGGTGTGTGAACATCGCCACTGGGGAGATAAAGGCGGCCGGGCGTGGTGGATCCAAGTCCCGGGCGAAGCCGGGTAGTACAGCTAGTTAATAATAAAAGTGGCAGCTGGGGAATGGGACGGGGAGGGGGGGGGGGGTCTCAGACCTTGTCCACTAAGTAGATGGAGCGACATCAGCTCGTATGCAGGTGCTGGATGGATTGCTGCGTTTGTAGCCAGTGCGGGCGTACATGGGATAACATCGAACGTTAAATTATGTTGCGCTTGGTCGCGTGTTTCGGCCCAGAGAGGCGCCAAGTGAGATTTTTTTTACCGTATCTTTGCCGCTGCACATCACGTATTTGAAGGCTCGATTGCCAACCTGTTAGCCAGGCCTCTTCTACACGCATACCGTTGCTATAGGCGAGAAAAGGGTACGCGTTATTCATCAGCGACTCGGCGATTGGATCTTGAGCCACGCGTGCACGGCACAATCCCAGAAACCTATTTGGAAAGAGCTGCGAACGAGAGAGAGGGGGCCCGCCGATTCAGATTTCAGCAGCCTGGATGACAGATTTTGACAGGTTGAAATTCATTGTTCGGGACATTCGGGAGGAGCAGAGCCAAAAGCTCAAGTGTCCCTCTTAAGGGTCGGCCAGATCAAAGATCCGCCGCCGTGGCACGCCGCCCCTTACGTGTAGGCGATGTTCTCCGTGCGGTTGACTCGAGTCGCCTCGCGGATCATGGCTTCGCTCACGTCCACCCCGACCACGCGCGGACAGCACCTCGACAGCAGCCGCGTGCACTGCCCGCTGCCACAGCCGACGTCCACGGCCAGACTCGGCACGCCGCCGGTCTGCGGCATGCCCAGCAAGTCCCCGGTTCACCATCAGTGGTGGACCCAAAAGTGAGAGGGGCGGGGGGGGGGAGATATGGGGGTGATTGTTCCATCCTTTGGCAGCCACTCTTGTTTTAATTTTCATCGTCGTCATCATTGACCACTGGCCATGGTCCCTTTTAGGTGACGTGTCCGGCCCAAGCCCATTTACCTGTTCTGAACAGTTTGAATTGTGGTCATGAATCTGAAACTCAGGAAATTAGTGTTATTGACATTTACCGTGAATACAAATGTAATTTGTCACGCCGCAAATGGTGATAAACAGGTGTTTCAGCTCCATCAGGTGTTTAGTATCAGGGGCCAGGCATAGGGAGAAAGGACTAAAGACGACAAATACATTCCGCAGCCTTTAAAATCTGCGGACAATCACAGGCGGTCCGTCCTTGATGCAACTGCTTCAATTCTAGAAGTGTAGGTTTTACCCTTTCTGGCAATAAAACAGCTGTGTTAAGATGTTAAAACACCAAACTGAAACCTTTTGCAAAGAATCATGCCCGCATTAACCACAGATAATTGTGGTGAACATGCAAATAAAAAAAACATGCTCCGATATTATATGCATTGTCTTTGAAAATGATTGGTCCACACAACAGACAGCTTTCTTTAGAGCCTCGTCTCACATAGTGTCAGACCAGAGGACGCCAAAAGGCGAACAGCACAAAGACAATGCCACTATCAGAACATTGAGAGCTCGGGTTGAGCAGCTACATCATGTGACCTCCCTTGCCATTATCAAAATATAAGAACAGGTTTTACCCTTTGTGGCAATAACACAGCTGTGTTAAGATGTTAAAACACCAATTGAGATTTCGATTTAAAGCTTTCGTGACTGCAGGGATTCATCTTCTGGGTTCTTTCGGTAAAGTCACGTAGAATAGAGGTAAATAATAAAAATAATAAAAACAGAATAAGATAAAATAATTATTATTTTATCTCCATTCTACGTGACTTTACTGAAAGAACGCAGAAGACTAATTGAGATTTTTTTATATAATTGCAAGGGAGGCCCCGTGATGTACCCTTCAATTATTTTGACTTGCATTCAGCCAATCAGGGTTTAGGCCGGCTCACCGTGCAACCATTGCATGATTTCTTGTTTAAAAAAATATAAATATATGTTATTAATCTATGTTGTTAAAAAAAGACTTTAACACAGAGTTATAGTTGAGCTGGTTGTAGGAGTGGTTTTTGGTGATTGGTGGCAATGTATATGCCACGTCGTTTTAGAATCCTCCTAACCCCACTCCCGTTCAGTTGAGAGAACAGTCACATTCCAATGAAGCCGTGCTAGGTGCAATTTTGAGACCAAGTCAGTGGGCAAAATAGGGGGAAAAGTACAATGAGTGGTAAAAAGGAATTGAAAGATTGGCTAAAAAGTCTTGTGGTTAGTTTTGACAGTAAAGCTGCATGCGTTTTTGTTATAAAACTGAGATTCGTGCACATCATGCAGACCTTGTGCAATAAGCAGGGACTTGCAAGCATAAACCACCACAATTATAATCTATGCGCCCGACAGATGTCGGATTTACAGTCGTGAAAATATTCAGCCTGCTAAAAACCTCCAACCGGCTGACACCGGCCTGCCACATTTCCTGTCGTTCCGTGCATCGCCACCTCGAGGAACTTTTGTCAGCTCGGCTTTCGAGAAAGGCGCACGAAGTCGCCACCACACGCACTCGGTACGTCGTTGAAACGTCGTCGGCTCCCTGCATGCTGCCTGGCCTCATAAACAAAGGGCCTTGGGTGACGCCACTTTTCCTGGTTGCAGACGAGAGCACGTAGGGCGACTGCGGTGAAACGGCTTTGCATTGCGGTGCGTTGTTTCAGCTCCTGCTAACAAAAAAAAACAAAGATTTGCGTCGACATTTTTGTTTGGGATGAGTCAAGTTTGAAACGCGAATCGGTAGAAGCGCCGATTCTGTTCCTTGGCAGTGGCTGGATTTCAGCCGGTGGATTTGAGGCTGACGGGATGCAGTCGTTTTTGTGGGTTCGGGAAGGGAAAAAAAATCCATCGGACATCTCGACCGAAAAAGGCACCCGTATCTCGAATCTGATGAAGTGCGTATGGCCAGTACATCCAGCAGTGTGCCAGTAAGGCCGTCGAAACGCTTCTTCCACGCACAATCTACGGTGGCAAATCTCGCATTCCCACAGCTGGTTTACTCAGAGCTCCCGAGACGTCGTGAATACGCAAAAATGTACACCAACCGATTCAAACTACGGTCGACACCCTTCCGAAACCCGTTCAAGCCATCAGCCGCCAGATGACGCTCCATTCACGGTCGTGCACCCACTGGATCGGTGGCACGAGCCGAAGTTGCGTTAACAACAGAGCAAGGACACACACCGATGTTGAAAATGCGAAAGTCGCGTATGGGATGTATGTCTCGAACTTGTCAGTAAACTGCAGTTGCCGTTTGTAACACCAGTTCTGCAATAATTTGCTAGAATCAATAACCCTCTTCCAATGCCTTTAAAAAAACGGCTGGACCTCCATTCAGTCTTTCCCCGTGACTTTTGTTTAGTTTCAAGAGTGTTGTTGTCAGAAAGGATCCCCTCCCCTCCATCTGATGGTAAATTACGTTTGATGGCGTGACCCAGCCAGTCGCTTTCCACAGTGCGCCGTTAATGTCAGCATACAGTTTGTTTTGGAAATGCAAAGATCGACAACACTCAGTTTGATCACGTAGGCTTTCGCGACCAATATCATTCATTTCATAATACAGGATTTTGGGGGAGGGAGGCGGGTGGGGTTAGGTCCCGTAAATATTTACGCGATCTTACCCAAAAAAAAACCTGTATTTTGATCGGCAACACTGTCGGAGCCAACGTGAATACTCGTTGCCGAGACTTTGCCTCCCGAAGCTGCCACCAAACCACGAACAGTCGTGACATCCAGCCAATAAATATTGGTGAAAACCTGTCAGCATTCAGTCGGTTAATTATTTCCCCCACCCCAGGAAAAGCCTCAACCAGAGCAACCATCTCCGTCGTGAACATTTTTGAATGCGACCTGGATGCACGGTACGGAGAGCATCAACTTCCAGCGGTGGAAGAGGACATATTGTTGCACATGAAATCCAACGTCAAGGTCTGCTGGGCACGACGAGAGAGGACTTCAGGGAGAGAGTTTGTGTAGTTTTGCTGGTTTGTCCTGCTGCTGCCCCTCCTCCTCCTCTTCCTTTGAAGGAGCGCAGCCTAAGATCGGTTCACGGCATTTGTTCCATATCTTGGGTTGTATGGCCACACAAATCACACCACTTGTGGCCTTTTCTTCACTCGTGAAGGAGACGCGGTGGCCCATCGGCCCGTCGATGTCCAGATGCGATGCGATGCTTACGCCGCCGGTTGTGTTGAGAGGCAGGAGCACAGGTGACCGAAATTGCGCAGGGCAGCTCTGGGTGGAAGTGCCCGGAGACGTTTCCCCAAGGCGGCAGCGGCGAACGCGCGCCCGGCCCCCGTTTTGCGGCCTCGCCACGCCTCCGAGTAATGCTGACGTGGAGCGAAGGTATTCTCTCAGCTGAAGACTCGGGGGAGGGGGGGGGTGCTGCAAGGATTCTTGTTCCACGCCAGGATATGCTTCAGCAAATCGGCACACTGCGACATCACTTCCAGGCAACCGGGCCGATGTGCGGTGACAGTCGAGCGCTATGAGAAGAGGTTTCACCCTTTATGGCAATGAAACAGGAGGCGTTAAGATGTTAAAACACCAAACTGAAATCTTTTGCAGGGAATCGTGTCTGCATTAACCACACACAGTACCTGTGGTGAAATTGCAAACAAACAAAAACATGCTCTGATAGGATATGATGCTTTGTCTTTGAAACGAAGTGGTCCACACCAGGGACAGCTTTCTTTAGAGCCTAGTCTCAAACAAGCTGTCTCTGGTGTGGACCAATCAGACCAAATACAATGCATCATCATATACTGTCAGAGCATGTGTTTTTTGTTTGTTTGCATGTTCACCACAAAGTACGTGTGGTTAATGCAGAGATGATTCCTTTGCAAAAGGTTTCAGTTTGGTGTTTAAACATCTTAACTCCTCCTGTTTGATTGCCAGAAAGGGTGAAAGTTATTTCTCATATTTTGATACTGGCAAGGGAGGGTCTCGTGATGGAGACACCCACGTGACACTCAACGAGAAATAGGGGGCAGCGTTTCCTGCCGCTCGGAAACGCTAAATAATATCGCAAATATCATTCGGCGAAACGAAAAATATTTAAGAACATTCGTGGCGTAGTCAAGTTAAGACGCTCAGGCTATGGCCATTAACGCTCTGTTCGATCATCATCAGTTTTCTCGTACTGCAAATGCACAAACGTTGAGTCAATGTTGGCCACGACGTCGTACGTTTACTGGGCTGGTGTTTAAATTCCAACCATTTTCAATAACCCCCCCCCCCCCCAATGGACGAAGGCCTCCTCCCTATGGCATGTGGAGCACGAAGGTTTTTTTTATCATCATCATACTTCACCAATTTGGTCATTACGGCTGGTTGAAGGGAGGAGGGTGAAGGACCGGTTGCGATATCGTCTGCCACCGATGTTAGACACAAATCAAATTCCTACACATGAACAACAAAGACAAAGATTCCCCCCGTATAGCCTCAACAGACTTTTGGGGAAAGTGCTGTTGGCGAGTAGCACCCATGAAGGCCGGAACAATACACGTTGAGGTGGGTGGCCAGCACCGTCTACACACAGCACCAGGCACTCATTTGAGGCCGAGTCGACCTAGGGGAGGCCGAGGAGCAGTTTACCGGTGTTGGCCGTGAACCGGAATCGATCTCGATTTGTAGCGCAGCGCGCTCACCGCTACGCCACCACTCCCCACTCCGCCACACACAAAACACATGGACACACACACACACGCTGCACGCAACGCAATCCCAGCATAGCTGTGACAAGTGCTGTTAGAGAGCACCTATTAAGGCCGAAAAGACAACATGAAGGGGCGGTATGGCCAGCACCACACCTGGGCCGCCCTTGTCTCCCTAATGCCGACGTTTACACACCGTCGACCTAGGGGGTGGGCCCGGGTCAGGGTTGAGAGTCCACCTCGCCGCTGATGCAAACTTCAGCGCCGAGTCACCACCCGTGCCACCAGACGACCGAGTTCATTAAAAACCACGACGGAGGCCAGCCCACAGGGGACGGCTGTACAAACAGGGCCCGCCGTGGCAGAGTTGTGGCTCGGCACGGGAACTGACAGAACATGTCCACGATTGTAAGTGCGAGCCAACAAAGACATATGTGTGCGTGTTTACACATATGCCTTTGTTTTTCTTGTTCATGCGTAAGCACGGGGCGTGTACACTCGATGCAGCAAGAATATTAATAATATTCCGCCAATAATCTAACATACCAGAGTGTTTTTTTACTTTCAGATTATTACAGTAAAATACAAATATGAATCCTCTTTGTATATTATTGGCAGAATAAAAATCTGCGTGCCAAAAACCCCCCA